GCAAGGTCATGATGCAGTTAAAATCAAAGTAGTGGCCAAGGTGACACTATGCAGCGGTCAATAAGGCATATGGAGGGCAGGGCGGGCCGGTGTGTGGGTCGTGTTCTATTTGGAGGAAGAACCAAGTGAAAACAGAGGCGGCTCTTGTAGTCACCTGTGCAAGTGTTGGTGGAGACCTGGCACAGTGATCATGGTGAAAGAGACCCCACTGGGAATTTGTTTTGAAGACAGAATTCAACATTGCAATGAGGTGGGTGCGGGGTGAGGGAGAGGGAGAGGAGGGACCATTTAGAGACATCTAATTGATGGGTGACTTGAGCAAATGAGTCAGTGGCATTGTGTTCAATGATGAAGGGAAAGTGAGTGGGAGAACAGCTTTCCAGAAGCAAAAGAAGAGATCACCTTTGCTATGTTGGGTTTGAAGTGTCTGTTAGTCTCAGCAGATGGGACATTGCCAAGTAGATATCACGTCTATGAATTTATAGCTTCGTTAGAACTGTAACTTGAAAGGCATCTCCCTTATCCCCATATTTAGAGATTAAGTAAATGAGGAGGAACTGGCAAAGACATTAAGCCACTCTTAGATGAATTTACTCAGTGTCCCTAGCCGAGACTGACTCTGAGACTATTTCATTCGCATTAACGTGTATGTTGTTCTGCTATTTGAGAGCTCATTGTAGAATGGGAATGAACTTTAAGGTATCATGCAGAATTCTCCAGGGCTCAAAATTCTGTTCATTCAGTTTCTACACTGAGTACTTTCTATGGATGAGTAACATACCAAGTGGGTCTTAATCTTAGCTGCAAAAAAATTCCTTTGCACCCCAAATCTTCACCTGTTAATCACTTTGCAAATATATGGGATTTCACTGTGTTTACTTCCTCCCAAACAAAATTCACTGGAAAGTTCTACTCTGTTTTTACAAAGTGCTGCTGACTATCTTTTTCTGCCCAAGTTGAGCATTTTGTGATCAGCAAATTCTTTTTCTACAACACTCGAAAAACAAACATGACATATAAATATTGTGCAGCAGGTAATTTAGCCCATTTCCAATATTATGTGATGGTAACCCTTTAAAATATACTCTAAAATTCTATGGGGACTACACCAGGGGCAGGATGGGGAGGTGGGGGAAGCAAACATTGCTTAAAAATAAACAATGATGTAAAAATAAAAAAAGAAAATCAATAATAAGTATTTTATCTGGAAAAAATAAGATAAAATGTACTCTAAAATACCGTTTCGCCTTCAGATTAAAATATTTCATATATGTTCTCTGCAGCTATCAGATGATTTTATCCCTAGTTTTCTGGGGTGGCTTATTTAAAATAAAAGTGGCTTGTCCTTGTTTTTCAGAAGTATCTCAGGATAAAGATATTCTCTGGTCAACCCAACAAGTTCTACTCCAAGACAGGAAAAATGACACCCTTCCATTTTTCTCGAGGCAAACGCCCCATCAATCATCTCAAAAGCAGAATATTAAGGGGAAAAGACTGAAGACTTACCTTAAGGTGGAGTGCAGCATCCTCATTCCCTTCAAATAATCTCTAGAATCATTCTTGAATGTTTACAAAATTTTCTCACTTCCAAAAGTAAATGATTACCTAAAATCTTTAGTTATTCCATTACCAAATGAAAGAAATTTATCTGATTTATGGTTTAATTTTAACTTTTGTTTAATTGAGAAAATCTCCTGCATTCTACAAACCCAGATTGAGGTCCCTTACATCGAACTAATTTCCAGTAATCATTAGTGTGGTTTCTGATCTTCTCTGGCCTCTCCGTTCAGCACTTTCCCCTTGCGGGTTCTCTTGCTCTTTTTATATTCCCTTTTGGATAGAGTATATCTTGTCCTATTCTGAACTCTCCCCACTATCCGACTGTTTACAGAGGGATATTCTCCATAAAGTGGTGTCATAATATGTTTTACTTGACCAAGATGATCTTGGTGATCTTCTGATTACAGGTATTTGCACAAGGTTCTTGAGTTTTCCATGAACATTGGCATCTTGTTATTTCTTCCAGTTGTCACCTGAGCCTGTCTGGCTTATAATATAGGTTTGTTTTTTGTTTGTTTGTTTGTTTGCTTCCTGAAAAGAACTATAGCTAAGCTATTGTTTTGGGAATTTTATAGGTTGTCTATTTGTTTCTCAAGTCGATAATAACATCACTTGAAATTAATAATAGCAATTTGGTTTCCTCTCTTTTGACATTTTTATCTCCACCACCAAGCTCCTCCCAACCATGGACTCATGTCTTTAACAGAATTGCCAGAACAAACTTGAATAATGGAATAAAAGTATTCCTTTTTTTTTCATGACATTACTCAGTTTTCCTTTTACATAGTGAAGTTGGTTCTTCATTTAAAATAGATATATTTTGTTATCTTAACAAATTTTCTTTCTGTTCTCTTGAGCTTAAAAAATCAAAACACAGGAATATAAATTGAATTTTGAAATGTATTTGTAGCTTCTATTGAGATTACTGCTTCTTTTTCTCCTCTATGATGCATGAACTGTTTATACTTTTTAATTTTGAAAGCAGACTTCATTCCTGAGAGTAAGAAAAAAAGAAGTAATATTATAAGGACAGTAGGCAGAGATTGTTAAGACAACAGATCATTATATTTAGTTTTCAATTTCTTAGCATCAGGGAATCCATGGATGTCGGAGCAGAGCTGGAAGCGAGAACAGTAGGCTCCGACACCCACGGGTTCCCACTTATTCCAGGACTTTACAGGGATGTTTCTTGTACACTGGCTTTTCCCTCTGCTAGAAGGTTCCTCCCCAAAGAGCAATTTGACTTGCTCCTTATTTGTTCCCTTGTTTCAATGCTTCTTTTTCAGTGAGTCCTTCCTCCATCATCTTCCTAACATTGAAATTCACCCCTTCTTCTGGGCCCTATCTCCACTCCTGCTTTCCCCCTTTCTTAGCACTTACTCTATCACTCACTGAATTCTCTATTTTGCTCATTTCCTCACTTTACATTGGCTACTTTCCTAAAGTGTAAGCTTCTCATGGGCAGGGTATTTGTCTTATTTTATTCACTAAAACAATATACAGCACATACTAGTGTTCAATAAACAGTTGTTGAATAGATGAATGAGTTCATAGATGAGTGAATGAGTCAGAAAAGGGGAACAATGTCAGCTTGAGGACTTCCTTTTTAAACATCCATTTCTGCTTGTATCCCTAGTCATAAGAAGGGGACTGAAGCTTTACAAAATGATGCACCCATTAGTTGATCATTTAAATTCGGAGCAACGTTTTCTCTTTCCAGTTCAGATAGTATACCCATAAACAGCACCACCAAGGAAAATCAAAGAAAGGGACTTGATGCCATGAGGAATAGATTTTCTCTCTATTCCTCATCATATTCATGACTTACTGGTAGAAAACCTCAGGGAGCTCACAGAATATACTCACATGACCAGCCTAGAGATATGTCTTCACAAAAAGGCGGTTAATAATATTCTTAGGAAAAGCCCTATTTATCTGCTATATATTCTGACAATCTTAAAAGCATTTTGAAATATATTTAGTTTTCAATTTCTTAGCATCAGGATAAACCAGGCAATGCCACTGTGTAAGCTGTGCAGTTTTGTCTGATAAAAATATCTCACAAACATGGGTTCCCTGTGTAAACAGTGTTGTGCCTGGGACATTAACAGGAGTAGGTTTTCTCCACCATCTTCCAGATTCATGGCTCTGGATTTAATTACTCTGCTGTGTGTTAGATCAGATGTTTACCACATACCTGGTTACACTGCTATTAATATTAAAATCAAAGCCCATGAGTTAAAAGAACATGATTTAAAGGTATGCCATTAATGCCATTAATATAGTTACTCATTATTTTGGTTCATTTCAAAATATCCCCAATACAGAACAGTTGCACAATAGGTAAAAAGGACCTTTGCCGCAACTGTGAGCTGCTGGCATGATGCCCTGTACGAATATCTCATCCTTCAGGAAACACTTTTGCAATGTTTTCTTCAAAACTCTATTCTCCTACATAACTACAAACCAACCATCAATATCAGGTGGTTAACACAGATACATTATTCCACCTATCCCGAGGGATAGGTGAAGCAGCTCACCTTGACTTTGTTCCAGCCTTTCCCTGAAAACACTACACAGAATTGCTCAGCAGATGACAGGGCATGGGAAGAGCTTGCACATACCTTTGAACCAGCTCAGTGAAGAGAAGATGGAAAGTCTGGTTTCCTCCCTACCTCCACTTACAAAGCACTCTTAGGTAACAAAAATGTAAGTAACAAACTTACATTCTTGATTAGATTATTGAAAATACTCATTCTGATATATAATTTGTTCATCAACTCACACAGGAACATGAGATCCCCATCCTGTCTATTGAAGACAATAAAGTTGCACACAGACCATTTTCTGCAGCCAAAAGGGTGTTTCCCACTTTTTTTTAATGTAACTGACATAACATAGGCTTATCATATTATAGGTTTCAGTGCACAATTATGTAAATCAACAACTGAATAGACCACCTATCCCCACAAAAGGTCTAACTCCACCTTTTATATATGGCCCCTTCACTTCTGGTTACTACTACTATGTGGTCTATGTTTTTGTTTTATTTAGTTTATTTGTTTTGGTTTCTTCATGCACCACCTGTGAGTGAAATCTTATGGTCTTTCCTTTTCTTACTGTTTCACTAAGCATATTCTCTTGGTTCATCCCTGCCTGTTGTTACATAAGGCATGGAAATTCAGCTACACCTATGTTTTCAGGCACCCAGAGTTAAATAACTAGGCTCTCCCCCACCCCTCTTGTAAATAGACAGGCAGCACTCCCAGAATACACTGCCAAGTTCCCTGACAAGATACTGGAGGCAAGTCAGTTGAGTTGGATGCTAGCCCATCACACAGGCATGGACTGGGAAGGTTCCATGAGGCAGGTGAGCACAACTAATCACCAGGATATGAGGTGTCACCAGGTGGTTGCTCAAGAGTGGGTTAATGTCGACCCTATGCCCAATCTTGGACTTCGGCTCTTCCCAGGATGAGGTAGATGACCAGGCCTGCTATGTCCACAGCAGCTGCAACGAAGAAGACGTTTCTCCAGGCATGCTCAGAGTCCTGAGGTGAGAAGTACAGGTGATTATGGCCTCTAGTCTTTTCCCATTTGGCTGAGAAGGGCTCTGGCACCCTGGTGTCCTGGCCTACTGTTCCCACTTCCAGCTCTGCTCCGACACCCACGGGTTCCTGCTTGTTCCAGTGCTTTGCAGGGATGTTTCTCCTACACTGGCTTTTCCCTCTGCTAGAAGGTTGCTCCCCAAAGAGCAATTTGACTTGCTCCTCGTTTGTTCCCTTGCTTCAATGCTTCTTTTTCAATGAGTCCTTCCTTCATCATCAACCTAACATTGAAATTCACCCCTTTTCCAGGCCTCTCTCCACTGCAGCTTTCCACCTTTCTTAGCACTTACTCTATCACTCACTGAATTCTCTATTTTGCTCATTCCCTCACTTTTCATTGGCTACTTTCCTAAAGCATAAGCTTCTCATGGGCAGGGTATTTGTCTTATTTTATTCACTAAAACAATATACAGCACATACTAATGTTCAATAAACAGTTGTTGAATAGATGAATGAGTTCATAGATGAGTGAATGAGTCAGAAAAGGGGGACAATGTCAGCTTGAGGATTTCCTGTTTAAACATCCCTCAGTGATAAGAAGGGGACTGAAGCTTTACAAAATGATGCACCCATTAGTTGGTCATTTAAATTCTGAGCAACGGTTTCTCTTTCCAGTTCAGATAGTATACCCATAAACAGCACCACCAAGGAAAAACAAAGAAAGGGACTTGATGCCACGAGGAATAGAATTTTCTGCTATTCTTCATCATATTCATGACTTACTGGTAGAAAACCTCAGGGAGCTCACAGAATATACTTGCGTGACCAGCCTAGAGATATGTCTTCACATAAAGGCAGTTAATAATATTCTTAGGAAAAGCCCTATTTATCTGCTATATATTCTGACCACCTTAAAAGCATTTCCCATATGGGAGGTTGTACAAATGCATAAACACCATGTACTCAACGGTGAGAGGGGTGTCTGCCTGACCATTGATGGGCCTGCCCACCCAAGCATGTTCCTGCATTTTTTTCCTTTATTTTGTCACTTGCTCAGCATCTCACAGATTTTGTAAATATTTGATAAGTTCCTTCAGAGTTAGGGTTACCCTTTCTTGATCACCTGAACATTTTAAGGCTTCAGTTGAAAAGTGCCACATCCTTGGAATGCAAATGTCCAGGCAAATCACAATAGATAACCACACTGTACATTAAAGGTGTAAGTTAAAATAAGCAATTATAAGGAAACTCCTCATCCTGGTTTATACTAAGGGACACAGCCTACAGAAACAGCTGGACTGGCCTTGATAAGAAACTGAGTCAGGAACAAAAAGCATGTTTTCTCCTGGAAAATAAAACCCTTAGTTCCCAGAATATAGGTCTCTACCTAGGCAGGATAAAGTCGAACATAGGTCCTTGTTTAACTAAATGCACAAACAATATCAAATAAAAATATTAATGGGACACCTGTCTAGAGAGTCTCTAGAAAAATCCTTGAAAATATCAAATGATTTCCTTTCCATGGAAAGTATAAAATTCTTGTGAGGCTCAGAATTTGAGAGTTTTCCCAGAGCTCTCTGGAAGCTATTTCTTGGCTTGAGTCCTCAGTGTTGATTCCTTTTTGTGTTTCACTCAATTTCCTTATATCAAAACATGGACCTCCCAACCACTATGGAGAGCTGTGTGGAGATTTCTGGACCTACTAAACATAGAGCTTCCATAGGATCCAGCAATTCCACTCCTAGGTATTTACCCAAAGGACACAGAAACATCAATTCCAAAGAACACCTGCACCCCTATGTTTATAGCAGCACTGTTTACAATAGCTAAGCTTTGGAAACAGCCCAAATGCCCAAAAATAGATGACTGGATCAAGAAGATGTGGTACATATACACCATGGAATATTACTCAGCATTCAAAAAGATAAACACATGCAATTTGCAGCAACATGGATGGCGCTGGAAGGGATCATGCTCAGCGAAATAAGCCAAAAAGAAAAAGAAAAATACCGGATGGTCTCACTCATAGCAGGAATGTAGAAAACTTAAATAAGGGACCAGGAAAATGAATAACTATAAGAAAGTGAAAATCAAAATCAACAAAAAACTATGAACCAGAGACACTTTTTGGGGGCAGGGGGCGGGAGGGGAGGGATTGGGGTCAGAATGGGGGGGCTGCAATTTTATGGGGAATATAAAATAAAATTTATTATTTAAAAAAAAAAAAGACTTGGACCTCATGTGTCTCAGAGACTTTGCCTGAACCCCAGGAGCAGACCCAAATTCAGGGCTCCAGCAAGTGACCTTGACTCTATCTGATTCCTCAGAGCTCAGACATGGTGACTGGTGACTACTGCCAGGTCATGTGACTCCAGGTTTGGTTGACAATCCCAGAGATTTTAAGGATTTTTATCCCAGATCAGACAACTCCCAGTGTGGAAATCTAGTCCCAGGATGGTCCATTGCGTGTGGTTATGGGTATTCTGTTTTAGCTGGAAAGACAAAATTTGCTAGAATATAATGACCAACTAACCGGAGCAGTCTTGACTGTCTCCACAGGAAAAGGCCAAGTGCTCCCTCTGATCCACGTGTCCATTGTGTCTATGCGAGTACAAACCCACCAGAGGATGCTGAGACTAGATGCTGTGATGACTAGGGAGCGGTCCTCCAGGGGGAGCATTTTCACACAGCTTTGTGCTCACCTGGGCGTGACATGAGGGTTGATCCTCTGCACCCTGAGCTCCTACAGTTGACTGAAGTAGTTTGTAGGTGAACTGAGACAGGTAAAGGCCAAGCCCACCCTGGGACACACCAACGAAGCCAGTCTATACCCGCACATAGATTTAAAAAGTTCAGCTAGAAATCAGCTAGGCAAGGCTGACTATGGGAAATGAGACTTCAAAACCCAATAAAGCAGGAGTGGCAGGGGATGCACCACATATCACCACCCTTGTAGGGTTTATGGGCAACATTTATGGAGGGAATAGTGGCAATTATTTCCTTGGTGCGAGGAATTAGCTAACAGAAAATTTCTTTGAAGAGGTCAAGTGGGGCACTTATAATTGTCAAATTTTCTATTTCCAGATGCAGCTAGAAGATCTGCTCAAACCTAAAACAGGCTACTAGGACAGTTATTTACACTGATACCTAGAAGTTTCTACGAGAAGAAATGATAAGGTCATGTCTTTGCCATTACTGGTATTTAAAAAAGTTAAAACGAAAAGAATCTCTACTTAACAAAGCCAGAGCACAATCCACTAGCCCCTCCACTCTCATTAATGATGAACAAACAGGCGAGGCAGCGCTCCTTTATCCTCCTTCTCCAGAGGCCAGGAAGTTTGGTACCTGAATCCTTCCACACCCACCTAAAGCACCCACTGATGGACCAGGCATTATTAGACTCTGTAGGAAGTTGACCACTCTGGTAAAGAGGCAGGCACCGCCTCTGCTCTCAATACCCACTAGCATGCAGGTCTTCATAGCTGGCAAATTACCTAAAACATTCAAAGCCAGAGAAAAAGAGACAGCCACTACAATTACCAAGCTGAAACCCATTCAAATGATTAAATAGATGAAGAAATCCCGCCACCTCGTGGCCACAAGTGTCAACACCAGAGATCCAGAGATTTCTAAAGAGAACAAAGATCCTTCAGGTTTAAACCAGTCACATTGCCTGAGAGCCTATACCTCGAAACTACCAACAGTGTTGTCAACCTATATTTTCTCCATCAGAAAATTAAGTATCAAAGATTATAAATAAAACTAAAAAGGTCCTATTGGACTATGGTGGAGGACTATAGATGTTTTGATGTTGAATGTGATATAGTAACAATATCTGAAGGGGGAGATCCTATACCTCTAAACCACAAACAGTGGTAAAACAGATGCATCAAAAAAATAAAAAATAAAAATAGAAAACTCATACTTGCGTTATGCAAAATATCATACTGTGAGACCTTGAGGAAGATTCTGACTTAGTTCTTGAGACTAAACTTAACACTAGATTAGTACTGCTCCAAGGAACTAAAGAGAATCTGTTCACTTCTACAATCATTTTCATTAGGGGAAGTCCAAGCAGAAAGTCAAGGGATTCCCATGAGGACTCTGATCCATTCGGGAGCTCCTCTTTCTGTCTTGCATGCCATTACTTTCCCAGATACCTTTTCTCAGAGTGAGAAATCTACAAATGGTGGTCGTAACAAGGTTCTCCACAAAACAGCAGTGTCAACACTAAAATAAACTTTAACTGGAGTCCCAGTTCTGGGACATGCAAACTAGGAGAAATCATTTCCCCTCCTTGTAAAACCTCTGGGGTCTGAACTCAAGGTAGAGCTCTCCAGTGGCCCTTAGGGCTCTTATAGTCAATGGAGACTTGCCCTACTACCTAAGAACCATATCTGCAGCAACTTCTTGGTGCTGAACTACAGAAGAAGCTCTGATGGATAAACATATCATGTTTTCCTAATGCACAACACTCTGCAGAAGTGATCCCAACTTCACAGCACACATAGTGTTCCTCAGCAAACTGGTCTACTTCACATGAGCTAATCCTACTCTCCCTAAAATAATGATTCTTAGATGTACAATTGATAGCTTGAACCCAGCACTTTGCTGCCAGAGAAACTTAAGGGAGCTGAATCTCACCATAATTGCATCAGATGAATTGATTCCCTTAAATTGCAGAATAATTTGCATGAAGTTTCAGGAACTAATCCTGTCTTTGTTTGGAATACAGATGCTAATGCCTCTGAGATTCATCCAGAATCTCACTGTCATTGCTGAGGGGTCAATCTTTGAAAATACCAATTTGGCTGAGGCACATTCAGCTCAATAGGTGGAATCTGTACCAAAGGCCTCCAAGTTGGCAAAAAGCATAACAGCTGTCATATATTCAGATAGCCACTATGCTTTTGGAAGAGCCCCACAGTTTGGAATGTTGTAGAAGCAAAGAGGCTTCCTGTCTTCCCCAGGACAACCTATAAAGAACAGGAAGCAGGCCATAGATTTTTTTTTTTTAGAAACTGATTTGCTCCCTCAATCTTTGGTGAAATTGCAAACACAGGGACACATCAGGGCTTGACACCTCAGAAGCCAAAGGCAATTGACCAGCAGACTGGGCAAGTATGCCAGCAGCATTGTCCAAGTAGAGAAAGAAATGCTGCTCTTCAGTGTCTGGTTATCATTTAACAAGGTTAAAAACTAAGCCCCCACCCATGCAGGTTACTTAAAAACTAATAGACAAAGGGAATTGATAAGGTTGTTGTGGGAACCGGGCCATAAGACTGATCATTTTGACTATGGATGCAGAAGCAGGGCCAGGATACATTTTGTGTCCGATGTCAGTTCCCAAGACCAGACATCCCAGAAGTAACTTGCTCAAATCAACTCCCCACTTATGAGAAGCCCTGCGAAACAGGTTACAAAAGGGAGTCCCATGTCTTCCTACATGCACAGACCTCTCCTCTCCCACCTGCTGCTTCTCTTAGTGTCGTATTTCATTAAATCTGTTTTCTGTTCTCCCTCTGTCTTTGGTGAATCTTTCATCCCCCATGACTCTGGCCTCATCCCAATATTTCTCCCCACTGCATTGTTTCACCCTCCAACTTAAGTAATGCCCTTTCTGAACTCCAGAAAGCCACACTTGAGACAGAGATGCAGATATGGATCCAAAAGGATGGGTGATTTCTATGAGGAAGAGAGAAAAATAGGACTAGGGCTCAACCATCGCCCTAGTCCAACCCACTATTGAATTATTCTCATGAACTCACCCTCTGGGCACCTGAGAAGATGGTGTCTAGGGATAATCCTTCCCCAGAAAGTGTTTTCTATCAAAAGATGTATGATCTTTCCTAAATATAATGCAGGTAAGTTTCTCTAGGGCCTATGGGGCTTTTCCAATGCCCACTGGGGTATTTGCAATCTGGCAGATGGATTCATATAGATGCCACTGATGGAGAATAATAGAAAAACTCGAAAGTAGATAGAAGGTCAAGAACCTAACTCACACAAGGAGGTAGGGGTAGAGGGGATGAGTGTAAGCCATTAACCCAGTTATAAAAACCAAAACCCTTAGGCATCAACGCCCAGACCCAGAGGTGCAATACCCAGAAACTATCAGACTGCTATAGAGAGTGTCAGGGTCACAAGCCACCCACCCACAAATATGAGCCCCTCCCTGAAAATGATAAAACCTAACAAGCCCTGACAATGCAGCAGCAGTCCATCTGCCCACCTGTGACTATGCAGGTGCTTCCTTTCACTAACGTTCTCCCTCTGCAGGGCAGGACTCCTGCCTGCCCATGCCCTGTACCTGCCAGGACTTCTCTTCACTCACCTACCTCAGCGGAGGCTGCTCTCCTCAGGGCCGCCTGCCTGCAACCATGCTGGCCTCTCCCAGCAAGCCTGTCCATTTTGGGGCAGCTCTTCCTGCCTGCTTATGTCCATGAAAGTGTCTTTTACTCTCTGTCCCTTTGTAACAGGGTGGTGCCCAAGAAAAGGGATAGTTCCAGTTTTCCTGCTCCACCCTAAGGAGGGTGGAGCTAAAGAGAAGAGAAGAAGCTGCAGAGGAGAATGAGGAAGGAAGGAAGCAGGATGGAGAGCCAGAAGGAGCCCTGGAGGAGGCACATGGACCAGACAGACATCTGGAGAAACTACACTGGCCTTTTGGTCGTGGACTGGGTGACACAGATGTGGGTGAGAGACCCTTGGGAAGGTGACCATGGCAGTTTTTGTCTGGATTTTGATTTTGCTCTTTTTCTCCCATACTTGTCTGGTTGTTTCTGATCTTTTTTTGTGGGTCCCTACTGGAAGATGCTTTAGACTTGTGACAGGCTTTGGGGTCGTGCTCTGGGCCAATCCTGCTTGGGTGGACTTTTACCCACGAGAGGATAGGTAACTTTAGGTGCTTGATTTAGAAACTATATTCTTTGCCTTTCCTGTATTGTTTCCTATTTGTACTAAAGTTCCTTTTCATTAAAATCCCATATGTTTTATTTTGATGCGGTGCATGGCAAAACCTATTTAGAGAAGGCAGGTTTGCGGGGTCTGGGCTGCCCCTCTCCCTGCCCCGTAAGACCTTTCCCTAATAAACCTGCCCTTTAAATATAACTACCATCTCTGTCTTGTGGAAAATTCACCTGGGAAACTTGCAGTATGCTGCTGAAACAGGAGCTCTGGTGAAACCTTTCCCAGAGTGAACCCAAGGACCCCGCACTCCAAACCCACAGACTCCAAACACAACATCACCACCATCACGAGGTTGCCAGTCTGCCTAAATTGGGATTTGTCCACTCTCACTGAAGAGAAAATTTCTATACAGGAGGGTCAAGGTAGCAAGTAGATGAAACTTTTTTGGATCACATTATTCCAGGGTTTCTGCTGGATTACAGAGTGATCATGGACTACATTTCAGTGAACAAATGACTAAGGGAACTAGTAAGGTGTGACTTACTTTTCAGCATTTCATTGTGCATCTCATCCCAATTCCTTAGGACTGGTGGAAGGAATGAGTGGAATGCTCAAAACCCATGTGCACAATTGACAGATGCTTATACCACAGATGCTCTGCAATAGCCAGGCCAAAGACCCTCTTATCAAGTCACTCTACATCTCATCAAGGAACTGGTGGAGAAGGGACATAAAATGCCAAGAGATAAACTAATTCCTTAAGGGAAATTGTCATAAAATAAAAGGTCAAGACTCTTTCTAGAAAATTTGCTGAGTACATGAGAAATGCATCTTCTAAAATCTCAGAAAGCATCAACTCATAAAACTGTGCATTCTCCTGCATTCCACACCAAACCATGGCAGCTTCCCCTCACACACTTGTGTTTCACAAACTGTGAAAGCCACATTGAGGAGGGAATGAAAATACTCTTAGTCTGACTTCTACTGGGTGACAATGCAGATTTGGCCTATGAATATTTCATGAGAACATTTTCTCACCTGATTTATGAAATAGCCAGTGATGGTAGTCGAGATGGCTCCAGCTAAGGAAGAAAATACTTGCGATAGTCCCCTGAGAAAGGCACTATACCTGGGAGACAGAAACAGAGGCAGAGAGAACATTCACTGGAAATAAAAGATTAATCCCAGCTCATCTGTCACAACGCTGTGTTTACCACTGAGGACGCCTGGGACGGTGCTGACTTTGGACCAAACCTGAATGAAATGTCCTGATGGGAATAGTAGGATCCTGCGCTTACTTGGAGACTTCCAGGGGGTCACCTGTACTAACTTCTCACACTGTTTATACAAAATATACAGATTAGTGCCCTGTAGCTGGTTTATGTTCTTTGGACTCTGCTATGGAGCCTGATCTTCTAGAATCCAGGTTTGGTGTATAAAATATCTCTCTCCTAGAATATAAAAGACCTCTCATTAAAAAACATGGCTCCCCTGAGAAAAGGAATTTCTCACAAATATTGCTGCATTATCTGAGGATGAGTGTGTTTTCTTTACTGTGAAATGTCTCTGGCAGCTATAGGGTAAAGTTCATTGACCTCTGATATTGACCTATATCAAGATAAATGTTCCTCTTGCTGTCCCCACCCTTTGCCTGCAATCACTTTACATGAGCTAGGCTTGTGGCGTTTCCAAGTCCTTTCAGGGACCCACCCTATGTGACAGTTGATGCCCCATGGAGGGATATCGCTGGGAGTCTCCTCTCATTGGGCTGTTCTGTGGCCACTGTCTACTCCTGTTTTCACTTTAAAAACTAAGTTTGATATAGTAGAGCATCTTTGGGTGTTTCAAGGAATTATAGTACTGACAATTTCCGTGACAGGTCTCATGTGTCACTCATATTTGATCTATATGTCGGAGCAGGGTTATGCCGATGGACCTGCACTGAGTTTCTATGAGGATAACGCAGAGTCCCTACCGAGGAGCAATATCCACCATGTTGAGAAGAACTCCTACTTCACACAAGTTGCGGAAGATGGGAGACACTACCAAGATGGCAAGGGTGGTGCTTTGGCTGGATCTCACCCAGGGCAGGAGCAGGTGGAGTCCACATGGGACAAGAACCCCTGGCAGGAGGACAAACACAGTGAACAGGAGGCCCCCTGGGCACCCCCCACATACCCTTCCATTCACCTCCATTCTTACCTAAGGCAGTAAAGAGTTTCCTGATAGTGTTGAGTCTAAGGATATTTCTGGAGTGGAGAAAACCAGCGAGTTGACCTCCAAGGATAAAGGTGGGAAAGGCAACACATACCGGCAGAGCTGACATGACCCCACTCTGGGAAGGAGAGGAGTGAGGGACAAGTCATCACCCCTCACTATGACTCAGACAGAGCTGTGGGGAGATTCTCTAGATCTGGGGTTATTCATTACATGCTCATCCCTCTAACACAAATTCCACATTACTGGTGTGAGTCAACATAATAATAGTGCTTGTGGATCAAGTTTCATAAAATTCAATTTGAGGGGTAAAAAACCACTAATTCTTCCTGCATATATAAAGTTTCCCTGGAAAAAAGATATTTAAAAGAAGAAAATTTGTTACAAAAATAGGCTAATAATTATGAACACACAATTAGCAGAGAGGGAAAAATGTGTATGTAAGGACTGTGTTAAAATGGTTTAGAGAAAAATATTCATGTCTGTAGGCTTGGATTCTCAAAAGGCACAATGGGAAAAATTCTGAGAAACTCTTAAAAACTTTATGTGTGGAGTGGGCTGGGAGAACAGGGGAGATTGGGAACAGGAAGACAGCAAGATGTTCCAACTTCCTTTTTATATTTTAAAAGAGATTTTAAAATGGGGAACCCTGTAATTATCAATTCAGCTTCTATTTTAAATGACCGATAATGAGAATAAGGACAGAGGACCACCCTTTGGTTTACAAAATCCAGACAATGAGCATGTCACTCTGACCTGGTCCAAGCTGTTCATTTAATGGATGAGTAAACCGAGACCATTGAGGTCACGTGACTTAGTGAGAAATTACCCTGAGAGCAACGAGTTCAGGTCTCTTGACTTCCCGTGCTGGGAGGGCACTGGGTTCTCAACTCTCTTTCCAACCACTCTCAGCCTGGTCCTCCACAGCCTTGGTGTCTGAGCGTGAGAGCCCACGTAGCCTCACTCCAGAGACAGATCATCCCCAACAGCAGCTGTAGGACGTCCCTCTCTCATTCTGATGCCCTAGCTCTCTAGATATCTTGTTTTCTCACTCCCTGGCCTATGTTCTGTTTTTCATCTGCTTCTGGTCCTCCTACCCCATCTTTGGACTTACTGATCTCAGCACACCAGCCTCCTTGTGTGCAGGAGCCCCAGGCTCTGACCTCTGCTAAGAGGCCAGATCTCTGTTATCCCTTTCCATGTTTCACCAGGGAGCCCAGTCACCCTGGGGACACTGCTTTTGATTCCAAAGGGTGAAAAAAGCAATAATTCAATGACCATGTGAATATACCTCTCAGTGAGATCTATACCCTCCTTCCCAGTATTAGAATATCCATTTAGCAAGAATTGAAAAGCTCCTGTCAGCCAATCAACAATCTGTTCATTGAGTGGAAAATCAGAGAGCACCACACATATGTGCACTTAGTCTATATATGTTAAAATTGAGAGAAATGTTTTTTCTTAAAAAATTCCTATTATTTGGGCCTCCCTTGGTGGCGCAGGCAGTTGAGTGCTGCGCTCTGAGGCTGTCCGCAGCCTCTGCAGTGCCAATTTGAACCAGGCCCGCCAGCGAGGGTCCCACATGGTGCAGTAGACCTCTCCTGTCACGCCCAAGCTCCTCTCAGCAGCATATTTTGTCAGTCTACCTGTTCTGTTCCCCACAGTTTCTGGTGAATCCTCTCACCTTCCCGTGCATCTGGCCTATACCCCAGTTCTTGTACAAAAGTAAATAAATCTTTTTTTTAAAAAAAGATTTATTTATTATTTATTTATTTATACAAGCACTGGCTAGAGTCAGAAGCGCAGGAGGGAGAGAGAATTCACAAGAACTGGATCAGGGAACAGAACAGGTAGAAGGTCCGAAGCACACTGCTGAGGGGAGCAGCGGAAGACAGGAGAGGTCTGAGCGCCATGTGGGACTCTCGCTGGTGGCCGGGATCGAACCAGCACTGCAGAGGCTGCGTGCAGCTTCGCAACCCAGCGATCAACCGCTGTGCCACCAGGGAGGCCAAATAAATAAATCTTTAAATAAAATTCCTACTGTTTTTTATATAGCAACTATCATGTCTTACTTTCAGTGTGTTTCTGATTCCTATGTCACAAACTTCTTAAAGATAAACACAATTTTATTAAACTTTGTTGCTTACATGCAACAGAGTGCTTTCACTGGAGTTATTGTTCAGAATAAATGTAATGTTTTTGCTTAGGCCTCTTAAAAAGTGTGACATACTCTGCATGTGTGTCCTAGAGCCATTCCACTCTCTTCCCATTAAAAGAAGATTTCTTTTCAGTGACGCAAAGTCTCCAAACAAAAACTCAAGTGAACCAGGTTGCATTTTCTCCCTGACCATCCTGGGCCTAATCCTTGACTTTTGAACCAAACAAAAGACAGAAAATTTTATAAAGAAGCATTTAACAGAGGAACAGAATGAACTTCCTCTGTACTTACATTTCTGAAGTTAGCTTCAAGTACAGTGTTGAAGTATGTTGGTGTGTATGTTATTATGATACAATTACGCCAGTATATAGAAAATGCAGACACTAAAATGGCCCACAGTGGCAGGGATTTAATCATAGCCTTAAAGGGAACAGACCAGGCTGGAGAACTGCCCTAGAAGAAAGCACATAACAGTGTTCCTTCTGTTAGAAGCCAGAAGCTTTGCTCCACTGCACATCTCACCTCTAACACATGCAGACAGACATGGAAATAACAGAGTAGTTGCTTAGTGCACCTGTTCAGCCAGGGAAGCCAGGATGTATTCCTTCTCACCAGTGCTGATAAACGGATGATTCACAGGGTCCTCATAGACAAGAAGAAACCAGAGCAAGGAAGAGGCACAGCCTATTCCACCTGGGAGAAGAGGGTCCAGTTAGTACTGTCAATTTGACTTTGACCTGGGGTGCATCCTGTCGTCCACAGTGACTGACCCCAGTCCTCATCCATAGTCTAGCATGCACCTATCGCTGGAGGAGAGGACTTTCCCAGCACTTGATTTTGGCCTTGGTCACACATATAACTTGCTCGTCCATGCTTTAAGAACCACAATATTGTTTCCAATTTTCTTCTAAGGTCTTAGCCATTGTCATAGGAGGAACATGGTCCAAATTACCCATTGTCAAATACCCAAGGCAGATACAAGACACAGAGAATGGAGCTGCACAAAAGGGGAGAACAAATGATTTCTTTTGAAGCAGAGTTGGGGCAGTTTTGAAATGCACCATTGCTAGAAATACTAGTGAGCTTACCTTGCTTGCTACAAACCTTCTCACATGGAAGTACTGGAAGAATTCTTCTCCTGCAAAGTTTTGCAATACTTCTGCAAAGTTCCTTCCATCATTTAGTCCTTCCAAAAGCACTACCTCTAGCACTGAAGACTAAGCAGCAGGCATATGTGCAAGTGATTACCCGGGAAATTTGTAAATTTGAAATTCATCTTCAACAGATGGATTTTCCCTAATACAAACATTATCTGGAATTTGCCAACACAGGATTATTGGTATGCTCTGAAAACAAAATTCATCTAAAAAGTCCCTTCTTAGGTCATTAAGAATATCTCAAGAGCTCTCTTTACTTGCTTGGTTGTGAATGACACATCCTTCACAAACACAGAGCAACCCATAAACACCAAGATTTTGTTAAGATTTTGAGAGTTTAGGAAGGCAAAGCACAATTTTCTCAACAAGAAACTTAAAATCAAGTATGGAGGGATAGACGTGAAAATTAGCACTGGTGAAATTTAGCACATTGATAATGTAGGATGTTAACAGATTCCATGGGTATTTAGTGAGTTCCTGTCTTAAACATGCTATTGCTCTTTCTCAAATCATGAGCCCAGCATCCTCTCCCATTACTTGAATATTTTTTGTAGCCCATTCTTCTTGAAATTTCTAGGACAGAACACTGGTAGATTCATGTGCCATAGTGATCACACTTAACATTTTCTTCTAAAAACTATGACCTGATAAATAAAAACCACAAAGTAAGAGCACCATCCTCTAATGAAAACACCAATAGACTGAACCTCCAGGTCCCACCAGATGAGGCAGGTTGCCCATGGGATTTAAAAGAACATTGTAAAAATACATAACCTCAAACATTAGTCAAAGCAGATGGACTGTTCCATCCATGACTGAGTATGGACAATATTTCAAAGCAGTAGACCACTGCCACTGGAATACTCAGTGTGACTTTGAAAATTTCTGTCTCTGTGTAGTTCACCCACTCCTGAGCCTCACGTGGTCTGCCCTGCTCTGCCTCCTTTATTGGCTGATTCTCTACTCCACTCAGTACTTTTACCTATGATTATGTTTCATTCCCACACTTTCCTGGTTGAGTAATATTAAGAGAATGTTAAAACAAGTATGAAATAAGTAAACCTGGCTAAAACTATAATCCTATCAAGATAACCTGTTCAACAGCTTATGAAGCACCCAGGTGGCGTCCTTCTTTGGGTTGAATTTAGAAACTGAAGGGAATGTGATGATGTCTCTAAAGTCATCCGGTTATTTTAGCTACATGCTCGAGTCCCTGAACTTAAATGTGATTTGCAGTCTCTCATGATGAGGTCTGACATTAGCCACTTCTGTGGGTCTGCTAGAATGAAAGACTGCGTAAGCTGCCGTGTGGGCTAGGCAGCTCAGCCTTATGTGCACAAAGCCCATTAGGCCCAACCAATCCATTCACTCCTGACCCTGCAGAGGCATGTGGGTAAGTAATTTTCAGGCTTTTCTGCCCTGCACCATTAGGATTGCATTGCCTGATGGGGGCACCTGCA